GAAGAAAAGAAAGAAAAAAAAAGGAAAAAAGGAATGAAGTTTCCTCAAGTGTGTTTTTTAGACTAAGATATTGTAAAATATTGCTTTGATCATTCTCTCGGCGTGTAACTTTTAGGCTAATTTACCGGTTCTGGGAAAAGTATTTTAAATCACAGCAAAAACAGCCCAGTTTAAGCTTGGTTAGAATCACGACCGACGTACTTACCTAGGGGGCAGTGAGGGGGTCACGACTTAATATTTTTGGCGTGCTAACGAAGAAAGGTGATCAACAGCTTTGAGCAGAACCGAAGCATTGCACTGATAGCAGTCAGTACACGCAATCGAATCAGTGATTTTCAGTACTTATCTTGGTACAGCATTTCACTGATTTTACTATTCAGTGTCTCCTTTGGGAAGAGTTCATAACAATACTTAGCAAAAGGAACCTTCAAAGAATATGACATGTAAACACACGACCCTTAAAATCGTGATTAGAAAAATGATCTAAAGGTTATCCTTTTAAAGTTCCTATGTTACCCGATGACATAAGCATAGTAGTTATGCCGGAACTTGTCTTCCCTTTTTGCAGTTCCTTAATTTGTTGCTCAATGATTTTGATGAGCAAAAGATAGTCATGCTTTCAGTTAATATCGATAAGAACTTGTTTGGTTGGCGCTGAATCAAAATTCTCATTTATAACAGGCACCCACCCACCTTTAAGTAGGTGCTTCAAAGAGGTTGCAACCTCAAATTTTTGGGGGGATAGAAATAGAAAAGACAAAAGGGAACCATCAACAAAAACAAGGCAATAATCATTATTCATATGATATTGTGTTTAATTGTCAAAATCGCCTTTGTTAAAGCAACGGAACGTTCCAGTGCGATATCTCTTTTGGCGGCCCAAGTGTACCATGTAAGTGTATAGACATGAACATGTAATGAGAAGCTGTAAAGGTTACTCCAGAAAAAAGGCTAACTCCAACAAAACGTGCGTGTCTATGAATACGTACTGAATAAATGATATGGTGATAATGAAGATAACAATTGAGACAATACCTACACGTACGACGACTTACTTTCAAAGGGAAGTTTGTTCGAGAAGGAAAACAAACGCCTATAACTACGAACCATAAAAGGAAATGAAATAAGGTAACCAGCAATAGCAAAACAGGAACAAAACAAATATTTACTATTTTTCACCGATGAGCACGTAGCACTGTTCTATTCAGTGTGTCCTGGTTCAACTCTCATCATGGTTTAGTGTTTCTGCTTTGTTGATTCTCTGTATTTCTGGGAGATCATCACTGCATGGGAACAACTAACTCACCTCAGCGACAAAACACTGCAAAATAAATATGATTGATATATGAAACATGAGGTTGCGATAAAAAGTTGCAATAAGTGGAAAATATGATAAAAAAGGATCGATAAGCATATTTCATTCAAAAACCGGACTGAGAAGCAGACACTCGAAAAGAGAGGCAGTGTAAAAGATAACACCCCGGATTTGGTTGTTATTTTATAGAAAACCGATTATAAAGCCAGAAAATCCAATAAGATAAAAACAACAGTTGATGTTAGAAACTCACTGGACGTGAGAAATCTTTGTTCGATTGTTTGTTTTCTACCCTATAATGTTGTGTCGGGGGGTACTGTCAAATGGATGAGAGATAACTAGAAGATTTAAGTGCTAAAAATCCTACTAAACTGCACCAAGCGTTTCGTAAAAGAAGTGGGCCACAGGAGACAAACTAAAAGAACCAAACCCACGATATCCTCCTTTCCGCGCCCCGCAAATATCTGCGTTTTTTTTTTTTATTAGAGGATAACGGTCAGTAGGGTTTATGGTTTGTTTATATCATTCTAGAGTCAATTCTCTATATTCTACCATTTTGGGTTTTTTATTCACTTGCTGTATGATAACAAGACCGAAAAAGCAACAACAACATATAGAATTCTGATCTAAGTCGCCTTTCGAAATTTGAAACAAAATGAAACATGTCATAGGAAAGCTGACTCAATGTTTTCCGAAACAAGAGACACAGAGACGAAGGCTCAGTCCGGAAAGATTCCAAAGTACGGTCTTATAGATTAATACACAAACTTAAAAGAACTAGTCAGAAGTTCAAGTGATACCTAATACTCTAGAGAACAGTCTCGTTTAGATTAAGTCTTATTCACGTATTCACGTGCATTCCCGAGCATTTTATTTTGGGACCTTCCTTGTGAAAACATGACATACAAGCTTATAAAACGGTCTGTTAGGAGGGGCACTGGGTTCACCCTGGGAACAAGGGTTACAAACAATCACCCTATTTTGCCTCCATTGCCCAGCCGGGTACACAAAATATGGGCGCATGCGAGCCAAGCCACCGTCCCGTTTATCAAGCTTCAATATGCCTACAAATGTCCTTTACCGTTAAGTAAAATTAAGTGCACCAAAGCCGGGCACGAAAACCCCCAGAAACCAGCAGGTGGAAAAAAAAGGAGGGAACGTGCACCCCCGACCAAGGCAGTGGTGCCACCCGCGGGATTTTTGGGTGTACTTTGCAAAACCTAGCATGCGCAAATACACAAAAGTTGCAGAAGGATCTGACCTCCCACAAAAACAAAACCTGGTTTCTACATAACAACATTTGGAAAATTAAAACAAAGACAAAACGTAATAGACAACTTAACGCGGTGAAGGCTGCCCGTAGAATGCCTCACCCTCCTAACGGCCACACATTACAAACTACAATCCCAAAACCCTATCCGCGCTTAGCACTCGTCCCAAACCCTCTGATTCGTGACTGCAAAATAGTAATTTATGCCAGGATTATCACAAATTACATTTTATATTATTATGTCACTCAATTTATATCTCTCTTTCCGATATTTTCGTTGCATTAAATAAGAAAATCCATCTGAAAAAGAAATGCACTGACCTGGAATCGAACCTGGGCCTCCCGCATGGCAGGAGAGACTTCTATAGCTTAACCACCAGCACCTTGTTGACCAATTTACTTCCTTTAATGGTGGCATTCTGGATGAATTTATAATTAAAAAAATGTAGAAAAGTGTGAACAAATAATCCCGGAGTATAAGCTCTATAATCTTGGTCTGGGTCATGTTATGTTATAGAGAGGGGGACGCGGCTTCAAAACTTTACCTTACGACTGGTCTTTTCAAGTCGGATTTTGAGATCACCTTCTCCATTCAGATCAAGTGAAGACCAAACCCTTCCCGAGTTATCTCTCACTACTTTTCGCCTCCCACCAAGGGTTGATTTCCAGTGTTGCGTAATTTTTACGTGCGTACGTGCGTAACAGTTATGTTCGCAAATAAAATAGAGGCAATGCATGAAAGGTCACTCGCAAGCGTAAAAGTTGAACCTCGCTCCACTTCTCGTTTGAGCTCAGCACTTTTTATCTTGCGTCTATTTTATTTACGTGAATAAAATTTACGTGCATCAACATGCGTAGCCAAAAACGCGCCAGTGGAAATCAACCTTAAAGAGGAAAGGCCGGTGCAATTTACGTGAGGGAAAATGGAAAGGAGTATGAAGAAATTCCCTCTAAATCTCTTTACTTTTTCCTTTCCGGCGTTACCTTACACAACAAGTGAGTTAAGTTACTCTTTGACGTCATCTGTGATCTAATATATTACTGAACAGACCCAGGGCAACATGGAACCTATCTGTTTGATAGAAAGGTAACTGGCTTCTGCAAGAAAGTAAAATGAAAGATTTTCCATTTCACTGACAGAGGTGAGACCCAAAAAATCTTTCTTAGAAGAAATAATGACTATTTACAAACCAGTTGCTCAGCGCGGAAATTGCAACAATCTTTATATTCCTTTTCTATGTACACTGTAAAACCTTTAGTGAAAGCGGATATCTCCCGAATTTTCACTCACTTGCTGAAATGGTTTCCATTGTCTACGATTCTCAAAAAGAAGGGAGAACGAAAAAAAAAAAGGAAAAAATGAATGAAAATTCAGGGAGTGTGTTTCTTAACCAGGAGCCTATGATTAGTAATTGTAAAAGGCTCCTGCTTAAACTTATATATTATATTTGTAAAATATTGCTTTGATCGTTCGTAAAAAAGAAGGATTAAACTCAGTTCTGGGCAAAGTATTTTAAATCACAACAAAAACAGCCCAGTAACTTAGTTAGATCACGACCAAGTTTATTACTATATTGATAAATACCTAACAACAGAATCTTCAAATGAACATATGACATGTAGACACCCATCCCTTAAAATCATGAAAAAAAAATACTCCAAAGGTTATCCTTTTAAAGTTCCTTTGTTACTCGAGGATATAAGCATAGAAGTTATGCCGGAACTTGTGCTTTTTTCAGTTCCTTCGTTGCTCGATGATCATAAAGTGGTTTGATGATAAGCAAAGAAGTCGTGTGGAACTTGATTGTTTCTCTGGCGCTGAATCAGAATTCTAATCAATTAGAAGCACCACCTACCTTGAAGCAGTTACCTCAAAGAAGTTGCAACCTCAAATGTTTGGCGATGATAGAGATCAACAAAAACAAGGCAACAGTCATCACTATTAGTGTACTTAATTTTCAAATTTGCTCTTGTTAAAACTACGCAATCGTGTCAGTGCGATCTCTCTTTTGGCCTCCTAAGATCTCTATCTCTGGTCTACCATGTAAGCGTATAGACATAAGCATGTAACAAGAAGCTCTAAACGTTACTTCAGGAAAAAAAGGCCAACTCCAACAAAACGTGCATGTCTATGCCTCCAACAAAACGTGCGTGTCTATGCATAAGTGAATAAATGATATGGTGATAATGAAGATAAAAATTGAAACAATACCTACACGTGTAACGACTTACTTTCAAAGGGAAGTTTGTTCGAAAAGGAAAAAAAACACGTATAACTACCATCAAAGAAAATGACATGAGAAAGTAACCAGTAACAGTAAAACGGGAACAAAACAAATATTTACTATTTTAACTGATGAGCACGTAGCACTGGTCTATTCAGTGTGTTCTGGTTCAACTCTCCGCATCATTATGATGGTTCAGTATTTCGCTGTTTTGTTGATTCTCTGTATTTCTGGGGCATCAATGGGAGCAAACACCTCACCTCAGCAACAAAACACTGCAAATTTAAAAGACTTATGCGAGGTATTTGCGAGGTATGAAATAATTATTTTGTTTTTGCTGACATTTCTGGGTTATTTCTCGGGCAGTGCGTGAGAAAACATTGCATGAAAAAGGTTTGCTGCGAAGTATATACTGGCGCGATCTAAAGCCCCCTTTTTCATAGCCTACAGTGCTTCCTCTGTGCCTTATTATTTTTTTTAGTTGATGTTAGTGTTGATATTTGTCCAATTTTGGTCTCACGTCTTGTAAGAGGGTTTCAATCGGGTGGTGGCTTTTACGGTTATCGGCTAAAATTTTGGCTCTTTTACGGCTATCGGTTAATTCTTTTTGAGTTACGGTTGACAAAATTTAATTAATTTCTTTCGTTTCAAAGAGTTAAATATTAATAAACCTGTATTCTTTGTATCTTCAAAGCAAAATAAAGGTCTTAGGATCATCACGGGATAAAATGAAGTTATTCTTTTGAAAAATTTTAGCATTTGATAGATCACACTATTTATAAAGTATTCCATTTTAAATATTATTTCACGCATAGAAATAGAGAGTCAATAGTCAATGTAAAATAATCTTTGCGAAAAAGCAAAAGCAGACACGCGAACGCCTAACTCAAGGCAGGGGGAGGAAAAATTAATCATGACAGAAATGGCTGTTTTCACACTACAGGCGGATGTGAGATAAGTTGTCCGTTTGATAATTCGCGTCAGATAGGTAACACGTCTTAATTTGAAATGGAAAGGGTTTTGATTTTAAATTAACAATCCTCCTGACTTTATCCGTCAATTTCGAGGGACAGTTTGAAGACGGGATTATCCGTTCCAGATAGCCTGTGTACAGCCGCCCCCTCCCCTCCGAAAAAATCGGAGAAGGGGTGTCTGTCGGAAAGGGGGCGACTGTACACAGGCTAGTCTTAGACGGATAATCCATGTCTACCTCTAGTGTGAGAACGGCCAAAACCAAAATTCCCGTGACCAGTGTTTTTAATGATAGCGAAGGACTGTACGGAACGACTGTCTGCCGTTACCCGCTTGTCCGTAGGCCCCATTATTCCGCGCGGCTAATGCTTTTCGGGTCACGTGGTCCGAGCGAGTTTGCCACCGAAATGCCTTGCCCGAGATTGCGTGGGGCCCGAGATTGCGTGGGAAGAAGCCGTACAGGGACTAGGCATGGCAATGTCAACCGTAGCGTCAGGGAAAAACGGGAAATGTTGTTTATCGGCAACGTGTTTTACAAACAGTGACATCTCTAGCTGCGTGTTGTTTCACTAGTGTTTCGAGGGCACGACCTTCTGAAAATCGCAAATATTAATCCCCAGCAAAACATTAATCCAGTTTCGCTATGGAAAAAAAAAATAGTTCCCCGAGAGAGCGGTGGAAATGGAACCTAGGTCTTGGTCAACACCTAAAAGGCGCTTCACCTAACGTGCGCACAGAGTCACACTAGCCGGGAAATAAAAAACTCAACCATAAGTGAGTTTAGTACCTTCCTTAAAAGTAGCAAATCTAGGGAACAATCAGTCTTTTACGGTTAACTCCTTTTTACCCTATTTACGGCCAACGGTTAAAATTTTTCAATTTTTACGGCTATCGACTAAATTTTTGGCCGTTTTACGCCTGTCGGTTAACCCCATTGAGACCCTCTTGCAATCAGATTTTTCCACCCTTCTACACCTCTGAGAGGTGTAGAACTAAGTATATATAATGACAAAGTGTTCCTGACTAAGGGGAAAAGTACGACAATATCAGACTTTTCCATACTTCTACACCTATTGCTAATGTAGAATTTGGAATGAAATAGGAAAGTAGGGTTCATTCACACTTCCACATCTCAGGGAAGTGTAGAACTAAGGACGGAAAAGAAAAGTAGGGATATTGTGGCCAGCTGGACATTTCTGATCTTTTAAATAATTTATTTCTACGCCTCTCTCGGTAAAAGACGGGTTTCGTTAGCCGGTCGTATCATATCAATAAAATTATGGCGCTGTGCTTTTCTCATTGACGTGATTTATTATTACTATTATTATTATTATTATTATTGTTATTATTATTATTATTATTATTATTTATTAGTACCATTTTTTTTTATTTAGTACATTAGTAGTCTTACAAGCCATTTGACCCGATCACTTTATCTATCGTTATTAGTAGCCCTTTCTTAAATAAGCGCATGATAAAAAATTCATTTTAATTTTCAGAAATCTATCCTGGGTCATGGTTTTCCCGGCGTTCCAGGGTCAAATGGCATGCCTGGAATGCCGGGCATTCCGGGGCCGCAAGGACCCCAGGGAAGGGAAGGTGCGAAAGGACAGATCGGTGATAAGGGATCGCAAGGAACGCCGGGTCGAAGAGGAGACAGAGGGCGCGAAGGGCCCCCTGGGAAGAGTGGACCCCATGGAATAAAAGGCATAAAAGGTGAAACGGGACTGGTGGGAATGAAAGGAGAGCGAGGCATTATAGGAAATCAAGGGAGAAAAGGAGACAAAGGAGAGAAAGGAGAAAGCGCCAAAGCAAGTCAAGCAAGTGTAGTACCACAAACCAACTGGAAACAATGTGTGTGGAAATCAAAAAGCCATACTAATAACGGAAGGATTGAGGTAAGCAAGAAATGCGCTAAATAATTGCCATAGATCACAAGAAGAGTAGACGATCTCATTCGATAGAAAAAGGTAGAAAATTTAAGATTTTGCTGAAATTAATTTGGAGTCAAATAAATAGCTCTGAGAAGATAAATCTCCTTCCCCTTCCCCTGATCATCACTTCGTTTAACCTCCGATTCAGTTGATAACTATTTCCGTTCCCATTTAGTGTTATAAGAATAGAGGCGTTACTAAATAGATTTTGATTGTTTTCCAGGGGTGTGCTTTTAACAAATTGAAGTCTGATTCAGCGCTCAAAGTCTCATTCCAGGGAAACATGAGGGTCTCTGGTGATAATCAGTGTAATCGGTGGTATTTCAAGTTCAATGGAAACGAATGTAGTGGACCAATGACGATTGAGGCTGCTGTTTACAACGACTGGACATCAGAGAACCCTAATCTGTTGCATCATCGGTCCTTTGAGGGATACTGTGAAAACATTCCACAAGGGGCAGTTAGAGTGGAATTATGGGTAGGACAGTGCGGTGGCCACACCCTGGGTAGTGCCGAAACTGGGTGGGAGTCAGTGTCCCGGATAATGATAGAAGAAGTATCTAGGCCCCAGTCCTAACGGGAGTCTCCCTCCCTCGATTCTGGGTGACGAAGTGTTTTCTATTTCGACTTTTCCAGAAAAATAAAACAACAATTCAAGTATTTTATTTGCACGAACGACATGTTGAGGTAACTTACATGGGTTAGATTTCGCGTGCCTAATAAGATTGTTGTAAGTCAAATTAGTTGTTAGTAAGGCTAACTAGACGTTTGAACGTCTGAGAAATTTGATGGTAACTACGGTAACCTGGAGTGATTGAACTGTGCTTCATGTAGATGTAACTTAAATAATAACAAAAACAACAAAGAAAAGGGAGATTACTCTAAAACAAGAGCAATGAAGTTTATTGAACGTAGTCATCGTCAGTCATTGATATTTTTGCAGTTAATACTCGTGATGATAGGCGATTTCCTGGGGTCACGCAACGGGTCTTAGATTAATTACCCTCTAGTAAATTTCCCAGCAATAGTTGAAAGGTTTAATGTAGTAATCTTCGCTTAAACAATAATTCGATTATTCTTCAAGTAAAATTGGTCGTTACTTGTATGTGATGGAGATTTTTATCCAATTTTCTCGTCCCTCTTTATCTTTTTTAACTTTCACTTCTTCTTATATAGTGTATTTTCTTCAATGTGCAAGGTTTTTAGCCAAAAAGTAAATTTTATGCACATCTTATCCCTATACTTTCTTTACAATGTGACGAAATTCATGGAAACATGCACAAATGTGGTAAAACGTACTCGAAATTTACAAAAAGCCTATTGTAGGTTTTCACATGACGTCACTAAAATTCAAAATAAAAAACTATCGATACTACCGAGATTTTACTTTCATGATGCATTAGAGCAGCGGAAAACTAATTTTCATACTAATTTCTCGCTCCAAAAGGGTTCTTGGTTTTGTGATAGAGTACGCTTGAATTTCTCAGCTTTTGCGTGACACGGCATTTACATGACGGCAAGAGAGCTGTCATGTCGGGTTAAAAAAATGACTTATTTCAGGAAATTTTGCTATCTAAACACTTCATGTATTAGAAAAAGTATTACTTTAATGTTTATGAGATTCTTGAAGAATGAATTCACGCTTTTTTAGCAAAACTCGGTAACAGATGTTTCTGTTGATTTCCGTCCGCCTTGTTGGAGCTCATCCAGCATGGCGTCTCCATACAAATCTCTATCATTTTGGGTAAAACATTTCTTCGGATATCTCGTATACGAAATATTCCTCTGACCTGAATCTTGGCGAGGGTCTTTGTATATGTACCTCCTTTCATTTCCCAGATTCTGGACTTTATCTATTATACGGTTTTGAATTTTATTTTGATCTATTTTGAATGGCGTACCACTGAAAACCAGCAATAGATACGATCAAACAAATATTCAGCTTAGGGCTTCTTGGATTTTTGACCTGATGTTTTGGACAAGACCAATCGTAGATACAAGACATGTAAACTAACTAGAAAAAAATAGATCATCATCATAATAAATGAATAAATAATAATAATGATAATGATAATGATAATGACAATAGTTATAATAGTAAATTGTTATTATGCTAAAAAATTGCCCAGAATGCTTTTGTGCTTTTTTAAAAAATACTTTTTGTAACGTTGACAATTTTATACCTAGAAGAATGTCAGAGAACATTTGCCATCACATTTGCCAAAAAATATCTTCCAATGTCACATCTGGTAATGACCTCATCGATAATGTGACTATTGGCAAATTAGGTTTCTTTGTTGCTGTGACAAGACTTCATTATCGAGTTAAAAACAAATAGCATATTTAAGGTTTTGGTTGTAAGGGGCTGTTAAAAGAAACCAGTTGAGTTCCCGCATTTTAAATCTAAGGGGGGAATCAATATGAGTGAAAAAGTCGAGAGACTAGTTCTAGGGCTGTAGCAAGTCGATGTTTCAACAAACGGCAGTGAAAATTTCGCGAGAAAGTAATGTTCTACCTGATAATTTTTTTTTCGACGACCAAAAGAGGGATATGACGTCATCAGTAACGTGACCATAGCGTTTTGAATATTTTAGTTCGTTTTCAAGTACTTTTTTAGTCATAAATTGACAAACCGTTTTCTCTACAAATCTCTACACTTTTTGCCCCTGAGTAATTATACCGTTATTTCAAAGCACAAGCAAACTGAAACTGAACCAGGAATTAAAAAATTAAATTGCTTGATATTGCAAGTTGAAATCGAAAAAGAGACTTACTTTTAAGATTTTTGTAGAATCGATTTTTAACAAAACTGTTTGTTTGCCGACATAACATTCCGGCGTTTGTTAATAAAGGAGAACTTTGAAAAACCCAAAAGGATGTATTTGGCGGCCATATTGTTGTTCTTCTTTCCGGAGAGAGGTCATGTACCCTAAAAGCCAAATGATTTGCTGCTTTAAACTTTAAAATAAATGGAAATAATGATAAACAACTTGTGTTACTGTTTTCTACCACAAATGAAAAGACAACTTACGAGCAGCTGCTACTGTCTTAGGCTCGATTTCCGCCGTCTCCCGGGTCCGGTCTTTGATCCTCCCCGAGGAGAGACGGCTGGACGCGTGACCCGTTGACATTGTCTGTGACGTAATTGGAAAATTGATCATTTAGGCGTCTCCGATGTCACTGGAAGTGAAACCGGTCTCCAATTTTCTCATTTATTTGGCTCAAAATTGCATCAAGCGCTCCCTTACCCACCCAAATGCGTTTCGAAATAGCTTTTTCGCTGCATTTCCATACATTAAAAAAAATATTCTTCGGTACATTTCTGTACACGGCGAGATATAGTTAATTTTCTTTGACCTTCGAATATTGGTTGTGTCTTCCGTTGGTCCGAACTAACTGATTCACCGAAGCGGACCAAATTAAATGGAAAAGTTTCTGATTTACCAGACAGAATTTCCAGCGTATTGAATGTTTCTCTGTCAAATATAAACGTGGACGGTTACATCTGTAACGAACGCAGTTATCGAGATCTAAAGCGCCTTGAAAAGATCCTTGAAGATGCAAATTCTCTCCAACAACAATCATTAGAAGCAAAGTTCACAACAAACAATCGAACAAAACATTGTGTTCCTTCCGACCCTAAAATTTCGCCTAGTGTCTCCGGGCCGTCGAAATCGCTTTGCCATGCGATGGATCAAGGAAGGACTTTCTGTTTTGATGTGATAATTTCTGCCACAATCTTTGCCAGACGAAAATCTGCAGGCGGTAACATGATTGGCTTAAACCAACAAAGGAAATCGCACGCGTCCAGCCGCTCTTTCGGGGGATGAGTGCAGGCTCATTTTCCCGAACAGCGGCTGGTAATCGAGCCTACTACTGTCTGAGAAAGAGAGAATCCGGTATGGTTCAGTCGTTTAGCCGCGCGATCAATAGTTCATATTTATTTAATTCCTCAATATGCTTTTTCATGGACAAAGCCTGAAATATACCAAGCAGATTTTCCTTGAACAGAAAACAAAGAAGTCTTTTGCTTTACGTCATCTGTGCCCAGTACACGAAGTCTTGAGTGGAATTTGGACAAATTGTCAATTCATTCGGTCAGGGAAAGTGTACATTTGACTGTCTGTCTGGGAATTTCAAAAACTATTCCTATGGCAACCATGTCTCAACAAGCTCATGCACGTTGAGAATTGAGAAACTGATCAACTTCAGCATGACTTGTATGTGGACACTTCATACAAATTCACTCTTGCATGGGTATTTGTTTCTCCTGCATGAACACAAATAAATGTGAACACTTTCATAAATGATTTGGTACTCTTTACAGGGATAACTCCGTGCTAATGAGGGTACCGGATATTCAATGATCATCATTATCACAATTCTTCTCAACTGCATCCTTAATAACATTGCAACATGTAATTTCACTTCAGTGTAAGTGATTATGTTTGCACCTTACTGTTTTAAAAAAGAATTAGTTGTCAAGTGTGATTAACGTATATGCCAACTCTCCCGGAAACGACAACAATCTCCTCCCGCACGGGTCACCCAACCTCCCGGATAAAATCGAGTTATGAGCTTTTTGTGCTTCAATTTGGAATTTATCCCATTTTCTCCCAAAATTTGAATTTCCTTTGATTCAAAGTTCGGTTTCTGGGGCATTTTCGTACGTATTTGATTATTTCCGCATTGCAATCATAAAAGCTAATTGTGATGGTTCTGTAGCTCATGTAAGACTTCATATAAAGTCCTAAGCCGATTAGGGACTGGACCGAATTGTGCTTATGAAAGAAAGAGTCTCCAGATTTTTGATTTCCAGAGTTTGGCATCTCTGGATTATGTACTGCAACAATAGTGCACACTCTCATTGCTGTAGTTCACTTAACAATAAATATTTTCCGTCAATTACCAGCATTTACTTGTTATTTTCAATGCACTACTAATCACACACTTCACAAGTAAATATTATTACACTTATTATTAGAGATGGCATGGGTTAGCTGCATATTCACCTGTCTTTCGTGCAGTTATTCACTATCACACCCATTTTCTTTTGACTATTTATTACACAAGTAGGAGGGTCAAATGGGGTGAACACGTGACTTATGAAATATTGGGTACCCTTCCTTAACAACATCAACCCCATTTACATCCCAGAACATCCTTTTTAACGACAGAGCACTGGGTTCAAATTTACTGCAACCAAAAGGAAACAAGCAAATAAAGGTGTAATAACACCAACCATGTATAATAACACTAACCCAAATAAAACAAAAACACTGGTCTAAAAATGATGAAATACTTTTTATTTTTCCGTAAAGTACGTAAAAATCAATCTTTTCCGGGAGCCTGCAATCCATTCGGTCAGCACCAAGGATAACGAAGGCTCTTGGATAAGATTGCATGCGCAATAACACAACAATATAAAATGTATCTGAAATCGTAAGACTAAGCATCGATTGAAGCTTTCTGTCAAAGTTTTGTACGTGGGCGTCATTATCACTATTCTTTCTCGCTTGTCTTTATTAGAGGAAATCCATAGATATTGAAGACACAATGTAGCACCTTTTGCGAGAGGAACTATAAATGTTGAGAACAAACAAAAACGGCGTTGAAGATGGAGGGTAACTAAACAAAATGAGAAAAAAAATTCCTGCTTAAGTCTTTCTATGCAGGAAGTTCTTTGCCGTTTACAGTTTACACATGCCATTCTACTGAAAATGAACAGAAAATCAAACGGGCGTTAACAGAAACAAAACGATTATAATGCGTGGTTTTATCTACTTTAAGCTCAAAATTTTTAGTGAAAAATATAACGTTAAATTACCAACATTTTATCGTCTGACTTGAGCGTTCCCCCCGTGCATGGTCAACGCAACTAGTTTATGTAATTGCTAAGTTATACTTAAAATCAAAAACTCGCATAAGGGGTTATGAGTTTCTGTTACAATGCAGTGCCTAAATTTGCTCATGTTCTGTTTGAGCCAGAAAGATAAATAGAATCTGTCGTTAACAGAAGTGCCGTGTCTTCTACATCAGAATCAGATTTTGATTCATTCATAGCGTTTGTCCTAAATTGTTGGCTGCCGTATCATGATATAATTGACTTTCAAGCGCTTTGGTCAATTAGTGGAGTTAGCGCTATATAAATTGTTATTATTATTATTATTATTACTTTCACTAAAAGCCTGCAAGAACTCATTAAGTAAACTGGCCATTTGCAAGTTACAAAAGCTTCACGTGACTAATATGTGAGGTGCATTTTTCGCCATTGTAGGATTGAGGTCCGACGTGAAACGACCTATAAAAGAGATTAGCAGTGCCGTATACGCGGTGCTTCCACTCTGCATTCTTAAGCCCGGTGAATACAATTACATGTAATGACATATTATTGTATATATTTAACACAAATGAAAGAACATTTTGTTAAAACAAAACAGTCTAACCGTCAGGATCAACAATGCGATAACTTCTATAAATATCCTTCTTATCAATAGATAGATCTAGTCAAAACATCAGTTTGCATTGATATAGTGACTTCTAATCGTTATATCAAGGTATATTATCATACCAGTTTTCATTGAATCTCATTACAACCAACTTATTTTACATTCACTTTCAAAGCAATCGCCGAAATCGTGTTTATGAACAATTTTTTCCCTCACGGAACGTGCACAAGCGGCAACCCTTTTAAACAGTAGAAAATTGTGCTCACAATCCGTTACTAATGAAAGTTTTAATTGCAGCTTTCAACTTTTTGGGTCCGTGAAAAAAAAATCCTCAAAAATGTAAAACTTGAGCTCATTCCAACTTTTGATTTGTGAATAAATCCTCAAATGTAGTAAATTTAAAAGTTAGTTAGAAATACGTTTTTGTGGCGCGATTTATTACGCCGCAGAATTTGTTCCTTGGTATTGGTCTCGCGAAAAAAAACCTTTACTAGGAGCGTTTTTACAGCTCCGACAGCGTTTTTTAAAACATATCAATTGGGTTATACAGGGTACAGTTTTCAGACTGTGGATGAAATCTGTTAAATTGTAATATTGTGGCATACGTTTAGTAGCTGAATCAGGTTAAATGATGAAAGCTTGCCAGCTGTAGTTTCTTCTGCTGCAGTTAAAACGCAACAGTAGATACTTCGGCATGGTTGAAGAAAGCTTCCGCGGAAGAAATGATACGTGGCACGATTTCCATGAAAGTTGTTGATAAAACTCCGTTGTGCCAATAGCTGTTTTCAAATGTTGCGTAAAAATACTCATTATCTTGTAAGTCGAGCTTGGCTTCTCAGCTTCTCAGAAGACTAGATGTTTGACCAATTCATTGTTCTCTGTACGCTCGCATCAGCAGAAATAAAAAGGATATGATACGGAATCCTATCATAAGAGCTATCATGATGTAAACGTCGAAAAGAAGATTGTCCTGAAATGCAAAAGATGGATGAATGTTTATCACTTTATACATTACTTTATAAATACGCTTTATAACGTCACTAACATTGCAGTCAGAGACAGAATCAGGAAAGCCATTGGGCCCTATGATGACATCTTAACCACGGTAAAGAAACTTAATTTTCAGCGGTCTGCGCATGTATCAAGATCAGCAGAGCTTGCCAAGACAATTTTACAAGGAGCAGTGCAAGGAGGGAGAAGGAGGGGCCGACGAAAGAAGCTTTGGGAGAATAGAATCTCTGAGTGGAGAGGGTGGAAGTCTTGCGACGCCCTAAGAGAAGCTGAAAGAAAAATCAAATGGAAAGAAATTAGGGTTACCAGGTCCATGGCGTCCCAATGGTCACTATGACTACGGCATAAGTGCAGGTGCAGGGGCATGGTCTTCTTTGATGGAATGATACAATAAAATCTGTAATTAAGTACCCGAGAGTTTCGGCAAAAGCCAAGAACAGTTGAATGGCTGAACAAGGATTGGTTCTATAATTTATTCTATAAAATGCTTATTTGACCAAATTTCTACCATAGTTTTTTTAACCTGCCGGCTTTTGCTAAATTTATCGGCGCCTTTTTATCGCCCCCGCAAGGATTTCGCCTTCTGGGCGAAATCCCGAGGAGGCTCTCTAGTAGCTCGTGCGTATATTAAGGAAAGTACTCAAAGTTGAAATATACAGTCAGTACACCAAAAAAAAAAATCTCGATTTGCTTGAACAGGGGCCGCATGGAATCGTTGGGTAATGATGACGTTTCTGTTGTTTACGCCCACAAGTAAGAGATGGTTAGGATGACGTAAAACAGAAAATCCCGAAGGGACCGCTTAGGTAGATTTTGTGACATTTATTGTACAGTCATACTTCGATCACGTGTTAACAGTGACATTCTGTCGAGCAGCTGTTTTGAAAGTTAGGACCAAACGACACTCCTTAAACGCAGATGAAGTTATAAGGTGCGTATAACTGTGCCGGTATATGTAACCACTTGGAGAGTTTACCAGACACGAGTTCTAAAATCTTTGATCAGAAACAATTTACCAGACACCCTTTCTCTCTCTTTGGGGGAATAAGACTCAGTCCACAAACAAGCAAGACGAATGAATCAACGGCTAGTTTATCACTAGCAGAACGATGGACGATTAAAGAAATTCGCCGACAATTAAATTCTGTGCTGACTTATTCCTCTTTAGGGATCCAGTAAAGCTTAAGCCACACCCCTATAGGTTTCCTTTATGAGTTCATCAGCAAGTATCCCCAAATCTTCCATTTGAGAACTCCCTC